CAAGTACTGAGTGCATTAATGGACATTTTCAAATGTTTGATTGTGTTTTGCTGTTATAAATCTTTTTTTTTTACTTGGTCTGAGGAACTATTCTAATTTTTTGAGATAGGATTTTTGAGTTTTCTTAAGCTGTATGCCATAATCAGCAATATTAAAATAATAAAAGGCTTGCAATATTTCAGTTGATTTGTAATGAATCCAGAATGTATGACATTTTTGTTTTTTTAATTGCATTACAGAAAATAAAAAACTTTATCACAATATTCTAATTTTCTGAGACAGTCCTGTATATATACACACACAGAATGCTCACAGGTCGGTTAATGCAGAAGGCAAGGCGACAGCCCCTACACCATGGGATAAGACTAGGTCTAAAGTGTGCCCATGCTCTTGCGTGGGGCCAGATACATGTTGGATGAAGTTAAAAGCATCTACAACATCAAGAAAGTCTTTAGTTAGTGGCTTAGAGATACAACAGACATGCACGTTAAAATCCCCGACAATTAAAATCCATACACTGACATTGTGTTAGCAATGAACCAAACACCTTCATTTCACTTTCTATATGAATATAAACACTGCATACTGAACATCTTGGTATGCTGGTTGAAAACTTTTTCTGATGATGACAAGAGTCAAAGATGAATGCTGATGATTGTTTATTTTAAATGGTATGCAAAGTGGAAATGGGTTGTTAATGGCTGTTATTAATCTTGAGCACATGTCAGTGGTTACGACTGATTCAGTAATGACACCAAGTGAAAACATTTGATCCGCATCATAAATCTTGATGATCCTGCTGTGTAACTAGCTGGCTTCACATCTTGTTTGTTAAAATGTTTGACTCATCTATTTGTCTAATCTGTACGTCTGCTGATGTTCTCTCTGGTTCTTTTTTTCAGGTCTAGGACTGGATCAGTTCATTGTGAAGCGCTATGATGGAAAGGTAAGAAGTTGGCGTCATGTCCTTACAGAAGACAAAGGGTCACCTTAGCAATTAAAAACGTCAGCAGCAGGGAGTTATTCAAATTATGTCTTAGAAACATTTCAGCCCCTGCTCATAAATTCAGTTTAAAGTAGCTTTGATTTCATAAATATGCTGCAAAATCAATGAGAATTGCATTTCCCCAGAAAGCTGTACTAATAACATATTTTAGGAGCTTATTTCTTTCCCCAGTTTACCAGAGGGGTTTATTCCCTATATTTACCAAGGTCAATAATTGCTTAAAGAATCAGTTCATCCAAAAATACAAATGAACACATTTCTCCTCACTTACTCCAGATATACATTGTGGTGTTGGCCATGAAGATAATTCCAGTTTTATGTGGCCAAGTTTAAAAATATCTGTTTTCTACACTCCTACAATCCACCCAAAAACAACACAGATGAATTAATGTGTTATGCGCCCTAAAGATCTGAACAATTCCATTTAAAGAAACGGTAACATCTCTTTGCAAAACAACATTCCACCTTTTATTAACTCTCTGAAAGATTGAATATGTTATTGTTTTATTAAACAGTAGTCCCAAATGAAAGCTCAACATTCAGTAAAAATGTGGTCTTTAATTATTATTATGTTGTCTTTTTAAAGTTTTGTCAGATATAATCCCATAACTCTTAAATATTGATCCTTATTTCATGCAGAGTCTTTCTAAGAAAATGAAGTCCGCACTTGATAATTAGGGTTTACACGTTAGTGCTTTGGTTTTAAATATCCATACAAAGAGAATGAATTATAGGTGAGGTTTTGAAAAGTATGGTCCCTATTTAGTCAAGTAGCGAAGAAACACATAGGGAAATGAAGTGGGAATAAATGTCAAAGATAATATCTAAAAATGAATTCTGTAAACTGGTTTATAAATGGGCATTACTCTATATTATATACTTCCATATAAGTTAACTAGAGTTTTTTATCAATTATTATGCAGTATCTGTTTTTTATTTAGTAGGTACATGCATCTTTTGCTATACATTAGTCCTTTTTAAATGTAATACTAAATAAAAACAGTGAATAATATCCCTAAAATAATAATAAATCTATGAAGAAAATATGAAATGCAATACAAATCAAAGATCCGCCACATTCATTCATCCTTCAGCCTGGAATGACGTTGAGGAAAAGGATAAATAGAACTGGAATGAGGTACAAATTGAGGCTATAGCTCAATGTCATTGAAATAAACAAATAGTCATCAGGGGCATTGGGGTTGCAGCATTGTGAGAGATGGCATATGGAAAGAGATAGAAAAGCAAATAGAAAACGCCATTACATTCTGTCAGGAGTGGGCGCAGAAATTAATAGAGAAAGATCCAGATGATGCCATCAGAAACAAAGCTATGAGAATGTTAGCCTGCATTCCTGCATCCACTTTGTTCTTTATTTCTGTTGATATCTTGCCCCCAAGCTGAGATACTCCCATTGCAGGTACAATAGGAGAAACAAATGTGAATGACGGCGTACATGTTTTAAAAAAAGTTGAAGTTTGTTGTTCTTCACAAACCATCCCCTGTATACTTTTTTTTGTTTCTTTCATGCCTTTGATTTAGCTCCTGCTTTGCTGTCTGCTCCTCAACCATCAATTCATATTATTTTCCACTCCCAATAATTGAGACTATAACAAGATTATCTGGCTTTTTCAAATATTGTCTGAGCTCTAAAGGTTCAGAAAAAGATTGAAAGGGTAATGACGAAATATATTTGTTTCAACCTTTAACTAGTTCTTATAGACCTTCAGTTGGTTACACCTAGTTCAGTGTTGCTCTTTAGCTCCATCTCCACATGTAATCATTAAGAGAGACATTTACAAATTGGACATGTCCAGTGCATAATGACCTATTTGACAACAGGTTAGCTTTGATCAGGCTAGCCCCCTTATTTGTCCACAGACTGGCCTTACAAGAAGCTAATCTCTGTGCTCTAAATGCTAACACCTCTCTGCTCTCAGTCAGGAAAATAGAGACCATGAATTTAAATCACCACAATCATTATTTTCATTGCTGCTTTCCTTGGTATTGATTTGTGACAATTACTGCCCTCTCGATGATCCCAAAGAGCATCTCTCACCCCCAGTTGCCAAACCCCTCCATTCATTTAGTAATAGCTAATCAACAGTGATGATTGTAGATTCTAACCTCATTAGGAAATCCATCACCCTCCAGGCTGCTATGATGATGAGTTATTCTGTATCTCATCTCCATTCTCTATGCAGATAAACCACACAAGTCACTCAGCGTGGCTAAAGACTCTTTATCACTACGTTCCCCTTTTACTGCCTGCTGCAACTCGAACGTGATTTTTATACTCCTTACGTTTTCTTCAAAGTTCCCAGAGTTTTGATTTGAATATCTCTACAGCATATCAACCCAAAGGCTATAGGGATATACATGAATCCAAAGGAAATACAACATTCTGCAGCGACCTAAAATCAAAATGCAACACTCTTTCTTGTCTGCTTATGTAAATGTGTTGCTTATCTCCACTTCTTACGTTTGCTTATTTGCCATGCAAATCTCTAGATCTTCAACTGAGGGTCCGTGACTCCTCCAAGACAGATTCCAGTAATACGAATCTACAGTATTATTAGCAAAGATAAATAGCTATTTCCGGAAAACAACAAACTGTTAATTTACATCAAATTGAAGAATCATAAAAAGTAATTTTTCTGAAGGTCACTGATCCGTCCCTCTTTTAGCCGAGGGGTCGTTAGCCTGAACAGTTTTGAAGACCCCCACTCTACACACATGGTTTTCTCTGATACTGTATTTATCTTTTTATTGTCCCCTGAGATCTTCCTGCCATGGCCGGAGACACCCGAGAACCCCTCCCCCTCTGGCTCTGCCCAACCCCCTTTGGGCCCACAGACATGCATGCCACCTCCTCATTGGCTCTAAGCCCCCCTTAGCTAGTTGGCGGAGGAATAAACCATTACTGTTTCCTGCCATGAAATCCAGTTCACATGAAACTTAGACCTGCATAGAATTGAATGGGGATGAAATGGCCAACCCAGGTACAGTGGTGCAATATCTGGAGTGTAAATCAGGGAGTTGGTGGAGGGTGTGGTGAAGTACAAAGGGAGTGTTTCAGCTGGGGGTTGGGTGATAAACTGCAATGAAGTCTAAGGTCGATGGCAGAGAGGTGTACAGCAGTGCGTGAGAGTAACATGAGAGCTCTATTAAAGGCCCCCTGTGTCTCCCTTCCCATAGTTTCATATAAAATAGCCAGGCCAACTCAAAGACGTGTCACATACGTACAGTGTAGCCACAGCTAAGAGGAAGAGTGTTTCATGGTGGTATACACCTCTCATGTTTTCCTATCCCCGCCCCCTCATGCTGACACTCTTTTGTTCCAGATTCCTTCTGTATGTAAACAATACAATAGGGTTGTTTTACAACCGCTGTCCATATTGACCCACCCTGTTTGTTTAGCTTTTATGTTCCTGTCCATATGCACACAGCCATTTGAGAGGTCTTTAAATGTTTACTTGTTTTCATTACACCATGGTCCCTTCCCCGATAATGTTGGCATGCTTACTGCTGTCGTAATCTAATGTTGATGTGACCTGACGTTACCATTGTTAACTGCTGGTGATTCTACCGTGCTCTTATCAGCCATCCTCGCTCATTCACGTAACGAGTAATCCCTCCATTTTCTCTCTCCTCCCTTCCTCGTGAATACAAATCATCCTCAACTCCCCTTCTCCCAAACTCCCTACTTTTTCTCTGTCTCCTCCCCCTATCATCCCATTTACTGATCCCCATTGTCCACCCATAAACTCCCCATCCCTCCTCCTTCTCCTCTTTTGTCTCCCTTCCTCTCTCCTCATCTACTTCCCGTTCTGCCCCTCCCTCTCTGCAGGACTTCTGGCAGGTATGGGGTGTGTGCCGAGCAGCATGTGTGCACCTGAATGAAGCAACTGCACTTTGTATTCTCTACCAACTCCCTCCTTCTCATTGTCCTCCTCTTCTGTCTAGTTTTCTATCTTTCTATTACTCACTCTCTCACTGCTCTGTAGTAACACAAGGGGCATAGCTATTCATTGGTGTTAGTCCAGGGGAACAGCTAAATAAGTAGTTTTTCTGCATTTACCCCATCTCAGCTTCAGCAAGTGTGAACCCAGAGTCACAGCCTCAGTTAGGTTTATGACCGCTGTGTATGGGCCAGCAGCCAAACTGCATTACAGTGTATCCTTTTCAACAAGACATTGGTACACTGGGGATAAAATGTTGAATCATCTTCAAGCTTTTCTCTCACCGGGTATATATTCTGTAGGTGTCATACCCAGCCTTGTAGGGGAAGTCATACAGTGTGAGGATAGAAGTAGAATAAGAAGAATAAAGCACCACCACCCTACAAGGACACTTAAATCACTTATTTCACTTACATGAATGTGTATGAGTTGGTTCATTTGAGCATATACTTTCTGCTTATTGTTTCCAATTTTGCTCCAAAAATGTTTCACCAGAAACCACTGGGGAACTTTTCTGTGATTCAAATGCTTCTCATGTACACATTTATGTGTGAATAAATGAGCCTTGACCTATTAGCTTAGCTCCTAAATGATTTGGCTTTTCAGCAGGTCTGAATGTCTGTCAGTCAGGATAATGCAAAGATTATCCAAAGGCAGCAAAGGGCAGGTTACAACCTGTGCACCTGATAATGACAGGGAGTGTCAGACACCAGAGTAGGCACGCACCCTATTGTGTGTGCTCTAGTATGAAAACTCTGTATTAGTATTGAACATTGTGTTAGAGACCTCCCTGTTGCCCTTTGTATCGCTTGTCAGAGGCAGCTGCGTGCCAGGCCATCCCTGCTGAATTATTGAAAGTGAAGACTTTATGCTTTGCCTCTACAGGGATTATTAAGATGCAGCCCTGCTGCATAATTCATAATTAGTCAGTGCCCCTAAGGAAAATCTAAAGGATTTTTTTTTGAGAAACATCAAGCCTTGCAAAGCTGAGATGAAAAGAGCAACTAAGATTTATAAGGAGCCTGTATTGGTCAATGCCAAATCCTAGCAGTGCTGTTCCCCTGCACTCCCTCTGTCTTGCTTTTATAAACACACCTTTTCTTCCTTCATCCCTTTGAAGAAATACAAGCTCTAGCTTTACACATGCTTTGGCACTGTAGCCTTTTTCCCAGCATGCACTGCTCTATTGCCTTTGCCTGTGTCTCACAGAGAAGTAGCTGGTGGTGGCGCCCCCTCTCTGCGCATGGTGGCCTCACAGGGTGTTTTTTTGGACCCAGGAAATGGCTCTGACTGTTAGCTAACATCGAGGCTGTATTGATGTGCTTGACAAGCCTTCACAAATCCATCCTCTGGATTGTCCAGATGTCAGTGCTGCATGATATTTGTATAGCATGGTTTAGAGTCACTGAAGGCAGGAAGTACATTTAAAAGGTATCCAAACTGTTCCTACATGCTGTGGCCTGTTAAAGCATCTGCAGCGTGACCAGCTTCGACTGAGAGCCGACACCTGTCACTCAGAGGAAGTGCAGTGGCGGGGCTGCTCCAATGCAAAGGAGCCTCTTGTCACAGCAACTGTTGTCGTGTTTCCTCTTTCTGATTTCACAGGAAGCTCCCAGGGGCCGCTGTTTGGAATGTCACTCCTCTATATCTTTGTCTTTTTCGCACTGTCCTCGATTCTCTCATGCTTTCTTTGCCTTTTCTGTCAATGTTGATCTCTATGAAAGCTAACACCCACAAGCACAGTGACGCACACAACACATTTCTCTCTTTTTCCAATCTCCTAATCTACAGTAAAAGAGGTTGGGTTGTCCTTACACCCCGTCAGGTAATTTGTTTCCTCCACTCCCATTGTGAGACAGATGCCATTCCTCTGTGACTGAAATTTGTTTATGGAGCGTTCCACATCAGCTTCTATTATTGTCATTTGCGCTCCCGGAATAATTAGGAGTTATTAACAGTACACCTGTTCTGCGGTTACCTGAGGGATTAGAGGTAAAAAAGCTACTAACACATCAGTATTCTCTCAACCTGCACACCCACCTTCATAAAAGTGAAATTGTTCTATGTATGTGTTCAAGGCAGAGCAGGAAGTATTATAGAACCATGTAATGGGTCTGTTTTTTCTTTGGGGCTTGGATGGATACTGTGTTATACTTGTATGTGTAGCAGTGTGAACTTACACACTGTGAGAGCTTTCCGACACTGTTCAAAAATGTCAGACACAGACCTGGGCTGACTTCAGCCTCTAGCAGGTCATTCCCTTTCCCCTGAAAACCCTCATCTTTTATTGAGCCTGTCAAAGTGTCAGTAACCCTAGAGCTACCCCATCACACAAAGCGACATCAAGGTTCTGATCCATTTTTAATGCATTTGTCCCCTCTTTCACTCACTCTATGCTGTCTGTCTTTCACACTGCACACATCTCTCTTTTTTCAAATCAGTATAATCCCACTGCTGTAGCGCTCCAGTACACCATGTTCCACCGAGACTCACCTGTACAAAAGATGAGGTCGCTAGGGAACGAGCATCACTCAGAACGACACTCACAACACACATGATTTGCTCCCTCTACAGCTTGAGCTTTTCATCTTTAGTGGCATGACTCAGCCCAGACTCATAAATGCATCTCTTTGTTGTGGCACTCTTAAGGAGACTAGCAGACGGCATTATGACATTGTCTTAAAAAGTGTGATAATTAATATTTTAAAGCTTTAAGACAAAACATGTGGCTTATATCCTTTTTCTTACATCATCCACTTCCCTCTTTTCCCTTTCTCTTGTTATCGGGTGTCTGCAGCTGCAGTGTTGGACAGGGTCACAGATCTAATCAATAACAAAGCACTGCAGCCGCTACAGTGGTATGGCCAAGTCTGAGCTGCCATCGGCTCCTAAACCAAGTGCACAGCCACACAATGTGCTGGAGCAGCATATCAGAAGGGAAGCTAGCAGAAAATGGATGGGTGACACATAATATATTTGAAGTGTCAACGTTAAAAGATTGCAGGATAATGTGTTGAATTATGCCTCATCTCCATCACAGTCACATCAACACTACAGTATCAGAATGCTTTATTTGTCCCGGGCGAAATTGGGTTTCATGACAGTTGCTCCATTTTACTATGACATAAAAATAACAGCTGCCAGAATTATTTTATTATGAGATGATAATTATGCCCATTGTCAGAAATGCCTGCCTTCTCATCAGCACAGCTTTGATATAACTGAAGCCAACAATGCAATGAGGTTAATTTGATCTTTTTAAGTTGTTTGCATAATATATTAGATCTTTTTTTTTAAAGCTTTGATAATTTTTTGACAGTTTTCTACAGTCAGAGATAGTTTGTAAAAACTGTGGCTATATAAATGTTAAAGCATATAATTCCTCAGTTTTTGATTCTACAGTTAATTATAAATACTCCAACAGCTTCTTATGCAATCCAAGTTTTTCATGGTGTGCTTAGAAAGTGTTTCTAAGGCACTCTGTGAAATGAGCAGAAGGTTAAGCAGCCTCGTTGTATGCTTGCCTCTGGCTTTGCCTTACATGTACAGTATGGGTCTCATTTGTTGGACTCTCTTTGCGTGCGCTAGTTTAAATCTGGCAATGGCCGCTTTTGGGCTGCTCCATTGCCTGGTGCTCTGGAGAGATTAGCCCTGACCAAACCCTTAACCCCGTCTGTGTGTATATGACTACATTAGACCACCAGCTCCTCCAGCCAGCAGCTCTGTCAGGACTGATGCTTCTGCCTCAGCTAACAGGCTATGTGTGTTGTTCAGCCAATCATCTGGACTTTGCCATAGCGTGGCTAACACATGCAAAGATGTGTGAACACATAGGCAGACTCAAGGCAGAAAAAAAAATACACATTCAGCTATGAAGCTGACACTTATCACACTGACAGACGTAGCGTTAGCTTTTAATTAACTTGAGTGCTGCAGCAGAAAGATTTACAGTCATTGGAAGATTAGTGCTTTGGGAAAAATCTAAGATGGGTGTTAAATGAGTGACTCCAATGAAGTAGAGATCCTTTTAGTGATTGCAGCCACATATTTTATAGGCCTAATGTCCTCTGTGTAGATCAATCAAAACTGACGAAAGACTAAAGTAATGACACACATTCTTGGCAATCAAGTGAGCTAATAGGTGTCTCTTGTAGGTAACATTTATTTTGACCATTTATCTGAATAATATATGCGTGTGTGTGCCAATCAGTGGCTTGTTGCTGGAGCACCCAACTGCAGTAGAAAGCTGAGGCCTGAATTGTTGACAGAATGATGAAGGGTGACAGGAAAGCTTGGTCGTGGTTTAATAGGAGAGCCACAAAAGCCAAGGTGAAACCCACAGCACAGTGATATACACACAGCCATCCCTCTGTGACTGTCTGAGAGAGTGCGCTATTGTTACATCATACGTTTGTGGGAGAGATTCACAGTATGGTAGCATAGAGAAGGAAACAGAGGGAAATCTATAAGCAGGTAGCTCTGTGGATGCAGTGGGAACCTATCTTCTGACAGGGACACACTGCATTAGGGTAGACTAAAAAGATCAGTGCTTGTATGGGATTTAGTATGCCCATACAGAGCTCTTCCTCCTTCTGCTGAACATGCATGGCTCCTGTCTTTGGCAATTATATTTGGATTAGATTCCTTGAATATCATTTTGGCAATTCTGCGGGGGTGTATTTTGTCCTTGAGTCAGAACGCCGAGAGAGAAGCATTTTTTTTATTATTACGCCTAATGTGCTTTGTTCCTCTGTTCTGATCATTATAATGACTCCCAGTGTGTTTATACATCTTGTGTGTCCTTGCGTGGGCCTGAGTATTTGTGAGCCCATTAAAGTACACACTTCTGCTGTTGTGTGTCTTTTTTTGTGGACAGGCATTACGGTTCCAACTCACCTTAGGGCTCTCTCGGGTTGCCATTGTTCCAAACTCAGAGATCAATACCAACCTCTTTTACTCACTTTTTTTTCCTTCTTTCTATATGTACACACTTGTCCCTCTTTAGTGTTCTCTCACACTTACACACATGCAAACGACCTGAATGCTTATTACACCAAGAAGGAAAATGTTGCCTTGAGTTATCTCTCTGTGTCTGTCTTTGTCTCTAAATCAGTAGCACTGTTTCGAAAAATAACGTTTTTTTTCTTTGTCACCTCCCCCTTATCTCTCCCACTCCCTGCTCCCCTTACAATCTAAATGTATATGCCATCAATAATTCACGTTACAGTAGAAACCACTATTTGCAATATTTGCATCACTGACATGTAAAAGATAGACACGGATTGGGGACATATCATGAGGATGGAGTGGGTTAATGGGGAAATAATGAAGATGTTATGCTATGAATGAGGATGCCACTCAAATATTAGAATTCAGATATGTTTTTTTTTTCCAGTTAATAAAAGCCTATATTTTAAAAGCAAATCTATGGGACTTGATTTGCCATGTGCACTCAGCAGACAGCTCCCACACAATACATGCTTGTTATAACAGCCTTGTTAGAAAAGCTGCATCAATCTTACAGACTGACAGCTTGACATATTTGAATCCTTAATTTGAGTGGTATCCCACCATTATGTTGTTTTGAGCGCGATGCTTTCTGTGTGCAACTATAAGAATGCTTGTCTCTGTCGTTGAAGGCCCTGCTAAAGACAGCAGAGGCCACGCCGTTCTCTAACAGTTGTTTTTCCTCCTCCTTCCTCCTCCTCTGAATGGACCTCTTACAGACGGAGGTAACTCCACATGGGTTCAGCGCGGCCCAGCTCCCCCCTCCCCTTCCCCAGGCATGCTCTGTGCGTCTGTCCACTCTGTTTGATGGAGCGTCCTGCGGGCGCTGTCTTTCCTAGTCTCTTTCACTGAGCGTGTAGTGTGCATGTGGTTAAGTAAATCTTTCATGCAATGCTGTGAAATATACACATGCTAACAGAAAAACGTCAATTTATGAGCGTTTGTTTATATATATATATATATATCTGTGTGTGAAAGAGAGAGCTAAAGTCACTTTGTTTTTAATGATTAATACATTTGGGTTGTGTTTCACGTGTGGTTAATCAATAGTGTGTGTTTGTGCTACAGTCTCTCGTGTTTTCTTCTCTTTATGTCAATTTCACTCTGTGAGTACGGCCTCTGGTGGATATCGTGTTTTGTACTTGAACTGACCACCGACTAATTGCTTGTTACTACCACCCTCACTTGCCTGTACGGCTACATGTGTATGCAGCATTTGCATGACTGTTATCGTGATAAACCGTCTAAGCATAATCATCCTTATGCAACAGGAGTATTTTTGTGTGTGTAAGTACAGTATGTGTGTCTGTTTCTGTGTTTAGAGCATAGCCAGTCTCTGATTGAGCTTCCCTGTCAGACACACAGACACTTGCTTGCACACACACAAAGCAACACCTGGGACAGCTGCAAAAGCTGTAAGGCTCGTGCTGAATCATGGCAAATGTTTTTAATATAACTTCTTCCTCTTTTTGCGGTGACCCAAATGAGCAGAAGATCGCCCAGGAGAGGGAGAAGTTTGCAGACGAGGACAGCATATTTTTCTCATTGGGAGAATGTGGCCTTATCTCCTTCTCTGACTACATCTTCCTCACCACCGTGCTGTCCAGTAAGTACATCGTTGAACTGACTGCAACAAATACAATGTTTCTTATATGACAAGTCCAATTTAAAACCACACATTTCAAATCCTACACACTGATCACAAATCAAATTTAAAGGAGGAGGTAAGACAGAAATTGATAGCCAGAGAAATGATCCAATGGGATGTTATTAGACAGTTCACTAGGATTTCCAGTTCTGTCAAAGTTAATAATGTTTGTCTACCGAGCAAGCATCCCTGGAGACGTTTCACAGAATTGGTTTATTTTAGCTTGATCTAGCATTGGTGGTTAATACACAGGGTGAATTTAGAATGAAAAGCTCCCTTATTAAATGTCAGAGTTCATGATAATGAAATTGAAGACTCCTTTTTCGCCGATGCCTCCTAAACTCACATCCCCAGCTTAGCTCGACCATTTATTATAATCCGTTCATATGGAGAAAGTCCTGGGGGATGTTTTCAAGAGCAAGTCATCGTTAAGCAGATAGGGCAGCATGCCTTATGTTGCTGTAAATCCATTTATTACGGCCACAAAAATAGCACAAAGTAGGATATATTTTTGCCTTGCCATGCCTTATATAAATGTGTACTTTAATTATATATTGTGCATCCTTTTCAGATAAGGCTTGATCTTTAATCTTTAATGTTTCCCTTAAAGGAAGTCAGGTTGTTAAAGATAGAAATTGTTTATTGTAGTACACAGAGGTCATTTAATTTGATAAATAGAGGGAAATCATCAGATAAACAGTGCAGGTTTTATAGCCACGGTTCACCATACCACCGTCACTGTCCAAAAACGGGAAGTGTTACGAAGAAACTGTAGATACTAGCAGCAATGGGTGAGACCTTTATAGAAAGGGTTAATGAAGTAAACAAAATGAATGGTGTGAAAATGTTCCAAATAAATGGCATGAATGGTTCGATACAATACCTACGCAGCGTCCATGTTTTTATTACCTCCATAAGTTTAGGCAAAACTCGAGCGCTATTCTTTTCCTGTGTGTGCCGTACATATTTTTTCTTTATTAACACAAATTACCGGACCCAGAGGGAGATACAATTTAGTAAAAACTAGGCTTATAGGGAATACATCCTGATGCTGGTGGTGTCCTTATTCCACAGCCATTATATTGTGCACCCAACATTTACTTTAAAATGCTACGTTAAAGCATGAAATGTGTCTATTGCCACTTAATATATAATATGTAAATGTATAGCCAATATATCTACTATGCAAAGTGTGCATTGCATATACAATAAGTATTCTACAGAAGGCCATATGTTGCTTATGTAAGGACCCAGATTGTATCATAAAGGAAGAAAATGGCCATATGTTGACATTTATTACAGGCGCTAAAAGACAGATTGTGGCTAAAACTCTTAATGGAGGAACCGATTGTTCAGCCGTTTCCATTTTTGCCTTCTCTGTCATTATCAGACTGTGAACTGAGCCTTGTTATCCCGCTGTACCAAAAACAAATTTCACGGTCTCTGGTTGCGTGATCATTAAAGGGATGTGAGCGTTAGTAGCAGAAGTACAGTTAACGCCATTTTCAAGGGGTACACACATTGGAAGAAACAGTGTACCAAATTGAAATTCAAACATCATTAATGCAAATGTTGTGTTACAGATAAGCCCGTACATACAGCCCAGGGTCTGAGAAGTCATTATTGTGCAGTCCGATTTCATGTTGCACCACTGTGGGGTGAAGATGACAGCTGGGTTGATCCGGTGTGACGTGTCGTTTCCATAATGTGCAGTATTGATTTCAGAATGTGCTTTTGTGTCCAGCTCCCCAGAGGAACTTTGAGATTGCATTCAAGATGTTTGATCTGAACGGGGACGGAGAGGTGGATCTGGAGGAGTTTGAACAGGTAAGAATGACGGGCAGCAGCAGACATACAGCATCCACGCACAACATCAACATAATGAAGGAGACACAAGGTTAAAACCAGCCCACACACTTGGACTTTGCTGCACCCACAGAACGACTGATTCCATTACAGTAACCGGTAACACACACTGACAGCACTAAAGCTAGGTAGATGTGCAGCAGATAAGTGCTGTGCGGCGCACTCTGCGGTGTGTCATTGTCTCTACCACTGAAGCTGATGGGGTTTATGATGTTCAGTGTTATTCAGAGAGGTTTTTTTTAGGTTAAACTTCACAATGTAAGACAATAATTGAAGGTCATTTTTGTATATAACTGAAGTACCCACGTAAAAAGCTCTGTATTTTAAATGAAGTAAATCTCACACACAGTTTTGTTGTTGTTTACAGCAATAGGAAAACTGCCCACGATTGTCCTAGTACATAATTTTATAAATGGTTTGAATAAGACTGTAGCGACTTCAGGAAACAAACAAAAGTTATCGAGAGGCTGAGGTCGGGCCTCGAGCGCTAACAAATGATTTGCTGAGGTCAAAACATGTGTGAAAAATATGTAATTTAATGAAAAACGAGATGATAAACAAAAAGTGCTGAGCCAACAAACCCACACAAAATAATAGATAACTATACTGTATAAGAAATATAAACAATCAAAAACCTTGTTCAATTTACAATAGAAATAACTACCTTTCTGTCCTTTTATGCATTTCAACCCCTCTAGAAAGTCACAAGTACTAGTGAAACCTAGTCTTCACTGTAATCCTGGTTAACATGAATGGACCTCTTCCATCCTTAGGTCCAGAGCATCATCCGGTCCCAGACCAGTATGGGCATGCGACACCGCGACCGCTCCACCACAGGAAACACGCTGAAGACGGCCGGCTGCAGCTCTGCTCTCACCACGTACTTCTTTGGAGTAGACCTGAAGGGAAAGCTCACCATCGGCAGCTTCCTGGAGTTTCAGAGGAAACTGCAGCACGACGTGCTCAAACTAGAGGTAAGGAGAGAGGAAAGTGAATGAGTGAGGAAAGATAGTAGGAGAGATTTCATTAACTGCTTTACAGTACTTTAGTGTAGAGTTGTATTTAATTAATTTAAATGTTATGGCTCTCCTAAATCTCAGCCTCTGCTATTCAGGGACTACCCATAAAAAGTAACAACATACTCAGAGGAAATATTTCAAAAATTGGTACATCGAGTCCCTCTGTAAATATTCAAATAACCAAAACATGTGGGGGAGAGACAGGGAGGTTATTGATGTAAATGTTATGCATATAAATATAATACAACAACAAAAAAGCCCAGAGGATGACAGAGCTCTGCGTGTTGTCTGGTCAGTGTCACCCTCTCAAACTGTGACGGTTCAGTATAAACAATCTACCCCCGTCCTGCCTCTACAGTAACAGCAACCCATCAGTGTTGTTGAGCATATGGTTTTTCTAATCTCTTTATTATTAGCGTGGGTAGTTCCTATGATACACTGAACCGTAAATGGGTTCCATCATCTGACGCTCTAACAATAGGCCAGGAGTCTAAAGAGCATCTGCCAGAAGGAAGTGCTATCTGTCAGTTCGTAATGACGGCACGCTGCTCAGAGAGGAAAATCATAACACCAGAGATAAAGTTGAATCAACATGGGTAATCCAATTCCTGTCTCACTCTGACACGCTGCCTTCGCCCCCTCTCTGTCTCTATTTGCTGAGCCTGCAGCTCACACTAGGCCATATTTCACCAGCTGTGGCGGGTTTTTTTTTGCAGGGTTTTCAATTTCTCTTATTCTTATGAAATCCCTTGTTTAAAGCCTGATCTTGTGTCAGTCAGAGTAAAAATGAATACAGTTATCAAACGCAGGGAAATACAATCGCTGTCTTATCAGGCTTGTATGCATAAAAACAGGAATGTCAGAATAACTAGAGCTAATGTCCTTAAAGGGCAGCTTTGCTATTTTTCAACCTGACCATTCATTTACTATGTTTTTAGGTTCACAGGGACAAGCATTTTTTAAATAGGTCCAGTATTGAGGGAAAAAGAGATGGAGATCAGATTATTGTTTAAGTGTCAGACAACATTATGGCGTATATGACGTAGAAATAAATCGTTTTACTTAACCTTTCCCTTGGTCCAGTCTGTTACTCCTTCTCAGAGAAGTCTGTGTTCTGAAATCTTGCGTTACATTTACATTTTCATAATTGGTTTAAGACTCAACTATCACATTTTAGATATCATGAGGTTATGATTTCTGTAGGTTTCCACTGATCTACTGGCAACAGGTTGGATGACACAATAACAGACCAACTGGATCAAGCGTTAAGGAATGTAAAAAAAGATTTTTTTCTGGAGGGTCCTTTCTATAATGTGGTCGGACACATGTTATAACAATCTGAGCGGCAAAAAGAAAAAAGTGGCAAAAACAAGCACTTTTAGTTAACATACATCAAAGGTGCGGACGTGCCCGATATGATTAGATTTCAGCCTGTTAAGCAGCTGCCATGTGATTCAGTCTCCCTCAATACTGGACTGATTTCCAAAATGGTGGTTCCCATTACTCCCTTAGAAACAAAAAATATGGGTTAAATAGGCTCCAGGTTGTTACCGTTAAATTGTGTCCTGCCGAGTCGATTGTGGCATCAGAAGGCAGCTGTTATTAGGGAGAGAAAGAACTGTACGCTACCTGCTCATCACCACATTTAATGGGACTCAATCTCTGACCGAGGAAGATCCTCTGTGGGAGCTGGAATGGTCAGGTCCCCTCTGAAATCTGCACTCCAGGCTTATTTTTGGCTTAGTTATGAGCAGCCTCTCACAAGTGTGACAAATTAACATTTTAAGAGGTCGGCACGTTCCAGAGAGAAACGGGGGAGGCAGCTGCGTAGCTGTCGAATAGCCTCAGATATAAATCCACTGGATTGACCTGACAAAGCCGAGACCCATAGCTCCGCTCCACTGGAATTATATTAAAATAATGCACATGCAGATTTGATGGCACCAACACCAGCTTCAGGCATGATTCAACTAGAAGCCTGACAGCAGTATTTACTGTTTCCCATCTCCCCATGAACTCCTTCTATTCATTTGTTTGTTCCTCTGCACAGCACTCAGTCTTCATCTGTCTCTCTCTCCCTTTTTTCAGTTCGAGAGGAATGATCCTGTGAATGGCAAAATCAGCGAGAGACAGTTTGGGGGCATGCTGCTGGCATACAGCGGCGTCCAGTCCCGTAAACTCAAGCAGATGCAGAAGGGCTTGAAGAAGATGTTTAAGGATGCACAGGTAGATACATCTGAGTGTACGACTGTGGCTGTGAGGGAGTGTGGTCGTCTTTCAACCAGAAGGTTGTGGGTTCGATCCCAGCCCATGCAGTCAACATGTCGATGTATCCTTGGGCAAGATACTTAACCCTGAGTTGCTCCCGATGGCATGGCCAACGGTGTGTGAATGTGTGTGAATGTTAGGTCCTAGAGTAAGGTACACTGCTCTGTATGAATGGGTGTGAATGGGTGAATGACATGTAGTATGTAAAGCGCTTTGAGGGGTCTTAAAGACTGGATAAAGCGCTATATAAGTACAGTCCATTTACCATTTACCATTTACTTATTCACACTTTCGTGGAATCCTGAGAAAAGTGACTGGTACTCTGTAGTCATAGTGCTGGGGAGGGTTTTAAGTAATTGGCTAAAGGCTAGGAAGCGTGACAGAGCAGTGTGCCTGAGGGAAGAGGAGATTGTGCGAGGGTGTGAGGGAGACTGGCTGAGAGGTAATACATCACCGGGGGAGGACGGCACATTCTGACGTTATCCACCTGACCGACACTTACTCTTTCCCACTCTTCTACTTTCCACTATGTGTGTGTGGTGACCAAACAGAGCAGCCAGTGCTCAGCAGGAGGACATAATTACTCCATCGCTCCTTGAGCTTCTTCTTTTTTTTTCTTTTTTTTTTTTTACAAGTCTTTTTATTTCATTATAGTGTACAGTAATCGATGCCATTACATTTATATCGTAATATCACAGTACACTCATACACTCCCTCCTCCCTCCTCCCTCCCTCCCTCCACCCGCACATGCCCACACGGCGAAACCAAGAAAAAAAAACAAAAAAAACAGAAAAATGATTATCAATATAACTTAAACAACAGAGCCATGAAAATAAACATAAAACGGAAAGGAAAAAAAACGCCTCCAGGCTTTGTCCTACTCCTCGGCAGCTCTTCTATGAATCAACAACTCCCTATTCAGTTATCTTGTTCAACTCGGTCGACTCATTTAGTTCCTTACAAAACAAGGTTTGTACTTTCCTTCCCCTAGACATTCTTTCATCCAACATTACCACCTTGCTCTAAGCAGGTAAAATGCCTCCACTGGTACCAACAAAACAGGGGGAAATGTAGAAATAATGAAGATGCAGAGGGCTCTGAGCCAGCATCACATTCTGTTCCCATTGCTTTGCATGCTTTTATGCCAGTTCTGCTTCACTTTAATGAGCTCCATCGCTCAATCTACTGAAGTTACGCCCCTACATATCGTATCCCCGGAGGGGCTGCAGCGAAAAAGACTTCCCTTTTTTGTATTTTCCCCCAAAAGATAGCTTTGCATCCCTTGGGCTATGATAAGGTACATTTGAGGATTAAAGGCCGTGTTTAGCAGAGAAAAGAAAAGCGAAGAACCTGTTGTTCCTCCCAGGCAGGAGAAAAAGACTCAGTCGCGTCTCTAAGGAATTAAACTGCAATAAGCATCTCTCTTTCACCCTTTCACTATTTATCCTGACTTCTTCCATGCCGCTGCCAGTCGCTCTGCATTGGCCTATCCTGTGATGTAAAGGAGAATTGTTTTATTTACGGCTGGAGACCAGCTGCTTGCTTTTCTTTGCAAATGGGCTCATCAGCAGAGTGGCAGCTTTGTGACTGTGCGTCTGTTGGTATGTGGCACACTTTTTATCCATGTGTGCTTCTGCCCACATCCCCTTATCACGTCACGCTGCTGAGCTGTTCCCAATATGTCACCGTGCAGCCACAGCTCTTCTAATAACAGCTTTTGGCTTATCCCCAACATGATTGCAGAGCTCTTGTGGCTCAGGTAAAACCGCAGTAATGATTTGTTCCTGAGGTTTTTGTGTATTTGTCCTCCTTGTGCAGGGCATCACATTCGAGGAGGTGGAGAATTTCTTTACTTTCCTAAAGAACGTGAACGATGTGGACACGGCGCTGAGTTTCTACCACATGGCCGGAGCCTCCATAGATAAAGGTACTCCCACATTCTCCTCCTGACATTCTCTCCACCTAATTACTCCCCTTAAGACTCAACTGTTGTCACCTTCATCCCCTCCCTATCTCTCAGAGCTGTTAACACTCTGCCAGCCAGGTTCTCTTCCCATATGTCCTTCTCTTGCTCAGCCATCTCTCGTCTGTTTCTCCATCTATCCATTTATCTCCCGCCTCTTCCTCCTGGTCTGCAGGAAAACATTGAAATCCGAGAACCACGGACATGCAGACATGACAGATCCAATGAGGGCGTTATACTTTGTCGTTGTCTGTCATTTTAACAAAAAAGGGCCGTTAAAACATCTGTCATAATCTATTATTACCCTTTAGTTTGCTTTTCTTTACTTTTTAATGATAGTTTTTTTTTTTTGCCTTTATTTATACAGGTGTAAAATCTCATTGAGACACAAGGTCTCATTTTCAAGAGAGACCTGTTACAGACAGACAGACAGACAGGACACTAAACACAGAGGCAACAATCAAATAAAACATCGTAAAAAAGTAGTCATTGAAATCCATATACAGTAGTCAGATATAGCAGGTGCAAACACCCACAGATGACTTCTCCAGCTTTTTTTAAATTAGTTTCAAATCTGTGATGGGTATCAAACTGGTCAGCTTAAGTTCTGCTGAAGTGTGTTCCAGGTCGAGGGGGCAGAGTATGATATTGTTTTTTTCCCAAGCACCGTGCGTACTGAGGGGATAGTAAGGCATATCCGCGTAAACACATTTTATATACAAGCTTATAGATGCTTTTAAAGGGCATAGTGAGAAAAGATCAATATTGACACCAAATGGGAGTAACCTTTTTATAGGCATTATTCCTACCTAAATAGGCAAATGTGAACAATGCGATCCTAACAAATGACAGACGGCTTCTCATGACCGTTTTTGATTTTGTTCTGACTGTACTGTCAACCCAAAGACTGATTTAGCACTTGATCCAAAGTCTGAAGTCGGTAAACATTTCTCCCAGGGAAGGGATCAGAAGTTCGCAAGAATCTCTGAACGTTGCGTTTCATTCATCGATCCTGAAAGCACTCAGTTCAGAGGGAGGCTATCCTGCTCCTCACTGAGAGGAGAAGAGGAGGCCTGCTGTGAAAAGCCTCAGTGTTCCAGTCCGTTCTAATGATGGGCAGCCTTTAGATTTGTCTAATGACTGATAATATACCATTAACGTGACATATGGACCTCTGATGCAAGACGTTAATAAAGCTTCAGCCCTGGTTGGTTTGGCAACACCTGTGGTTACCGTGGCAACAGTAAGTGCAGTTTAATACTCCTGCAAACAGTCATTGAGCAGCTACTTTGTCAGAAATACAACAGTGGCTGATGTATCTGTTTACAGTGCAGCTAAACAAATGCACGTTGTTTACATAAAGACGTGGGTTAATACGCTGGCTTTTTCCATCGGCAGAAATCTGATTTAATTCTTCACACATAGCAGAAGCTGTTTGCCACACTAAAATGTTGGTTACCTTCCTCACTGTGTGGAGGCTTCTTGTTCTTCCATTACTCCTTCTGCTGTCAAACAATGCAGGAAAAGATTGTTGTCTTGTTTTGAAGAAGTATTTTAGATAAGAAAATCCCGCTAAGATCCAATCGCTAAGACAATACCTTCTGGCTCCCTCACAACGAAGCTAAATGTTGTTTAGCTAGTTGAGATGTGAAGCAGCTGCAGTTGAATGTTTGGTTTGTATTAGCATTCACTTAATACAGCCCTCACACTGTGTAATGACACCGTTAGGCTGTTATCATTGAAGCCCAACTTGTGAGTACAGGGAATTTAAATAGACGTGGTAATACAAAAACAATGAGACATTCTATGGGAGGTCTTTTCGGATGTAAATGGATTGTACATACAGCTATTATGGATTTCATTAAAAAGTCTTGAGGAATATAAATTAGATGATTGTCCCTGAATTCTAAATCCTGAATAATTTGTCTCTGATGATTATTCAAAAAGACCAATTACTAAGTGTCAACGTGTTCTTTCCTTTATCTTCTTCAACACATTTCTGAATTACTCTGTTATATATCCTATCAATGAGCGTCTATTGTGAGAGCGTCACAGAGAGCGAGGACCTGCAGCTTTTTATAAAAGTGCAAATTGTTTGATAATGAGTCAATATTCTCCTCATTCATTGCAACTGATTCAGACTTCGTTGGGCCTCCATATGTTTACTGTCGGCACATCCATTAGTTCTGACTCACTGATGAAACAGCTTCAGCAGTAGGGAGTGCAGGCTCTGCCCCGAGGTGCTTGTTTTCCGGCGTATGGTTTCATCTGCAATAACAGCAACAAGCCATGTGTGTGTCGGTGTGTTTGTGAGTGTGTTGTGGAGCGGTATAGAGAGCATCAGTCTGCAGAGGGTTAGAGGAGAGCTGCCAGGCGTCTGTAAATTATCTCCGCACAGTGAAACCGTCTTCCTCCTCTTCAAGCCTTATAGGGGAAGAGCCCCTTGAAGTGGGGTTGTATGAGGTAAAAGTTGAAAATATGAGGGGGAAATATCCAATAGCCATTTTTGTTAAATGATATTACTATTAGGGATGTCCCGATCACCTTTTTTTGCTCCCGATCCGATTCCGATCATTCGATTTTGACAATTTGCCGATACCGATTTTTCCCGATCCGATCTTTATGCAATGCATTAAGAGAAAAAAAAAGAAAAAAAGCATTCAAGTTGTCCCTTAAGGTTATTTTTTTATTTAAATTGGATAGTCTCTATCAACATGCGATTATAGTTTCTTTTTTTCAACCAGCAGCCCATTTGGATCCAGTTCCAGTGTGCAGCATTGGATCAAAACAAAATAAAGCTTAATCAGTACTCGTTAGCTTTACTGCTACCATTACGACACTGCGCCCTGCCCCACTCGTTGTGTCCAGAATTTGGTGGAGAAATAAGCAACCAGGTCTATGAAGGACAAGGCCCCAAGAGAAGCAACACATACATGAATGTTGTGTAATTTGAAACCAAAACCTAAGGCCTCAGGGATGACTTAAGACTCTGAACCATGGTCATTTGTTTTGGTACGATGAATACAAATTTAAAAAAGTATTTATAAGAAAAAATTAATCCGATTCCCCGATTTTTTGTGAAAATCACGCGACTCGGCCGATCCCCGATCACGTGATCGGATCGGGCACATCTCTAACTTACTATTGCCAATATGATCTACCATATTGTACAAATGATCCATGCTCCATTGGACTCCTTTGTTTTTACTTCTGAACACATAGTGACATCACCAATGTAACACTCACGCTTCTATTGGCTAGCGCTCCAACACATTGTACTTAATAGCTAAGGGGCGGACAGGCTCGGCAGCCAAACCAATCAGAGCAGACTGGGCTCTGGGTTCCAAGACAGAGAGGGTGAAAAGAGGTGCTGCCCANCACCTGCAAGGGTTTCCTGAGCCTTGAAAAACACTCAGCTTGGTTCAGTACTCTGGACAGCAGTCAGATCAGCAGTCTTCCCCATACTTGTGATTTAGTTTACTGAACCAAGCTGAGTGTTTTTCAAGGCTCAGGAAACCCTTGCAGGTGTTTCGAGTTAATTAGACGATTCAAGTGATTCGTTGAACACCCTACTAGTATACTTTTTCATGATATTCTAATATTTAGAGATAGGATATTTGAGTTTTCTTAAGCTGTATGCCATAATCAGCAATATTAAAATAATAAAAGGCTTGCAATATTTCAGTTGATTTGTAATGAATCCAGAATGTATGACATTTTTGTTTTTTTAATTGCATTACAGAAAATAAAGAACTTTATCACAATATTCTAATTTTCTGAGACAGTCCTGTATATGTGTATCTGTGTGTGTATATGACTGCCTTTAGGTACTATGGTTACCGCGTCGGTGTGACCTTGTTTAGTTCCTCCCACCGGAAGAGGTCTGGACGACGCTTGATGACACTACTTAAGCTGAGACGCTGCCGTCATTCGAGGCGCTGGATTTGTGCCAGTACGCTACTCTACTCTCCAAATGTTTGGGTATGTTCTGTGACGGCGTTGCATTTGTGCTAGACGCCTCACTATTTTCGCCTTAAGTACCCGTATTGTTCTGTGACTGTGATACTCTGTGGCCTTCGTTTTGTGTACTTATATTATAAATAGACAGCTTCTTGTTTAAAGAGCCTGTACTTTTGTTTATACCATTTTTATTTGAGTTTATTATTAAAATCAACCTCTTACCAAGAATATCTGGTTTCGTGTTGCTTCCCTTTTACCCTAAACGAGCTGGGGACGTAACACATGGTCTGCCCATTTCAAATGTCAATGTGTGTGATGCAGCTTTATCAGATCACCTGCCTGTGTTATTTGATTTTATTCTGCCCTGTCATAGTATTAAATCATGCGCTCCTGTCCGTCACGGTCGTAGGATGAAACCTTCCACTGCTGCTAGTTTCTCCCCCGCATTTTGTAAACCTAGCCCAGTCTGATGTCCTCTGACTCCCTGGACACTGAGCAATTAACCTCAGCCTTTCTCTCTACCTGCACTGGAGCTCTTGACATTGTAGCTCCCCTGAAACTCATGCGCCCCAGAGCTAAATCTGAACCCTGGCTCAATGACGTCACTCGTGCTGCCAGGCGTGAGTGCCGGCTCCGTGTTTACGCCTATACGATCATTTCCTGATAACGTTGAAGCAATAGCCCCGCCTCTCCTGCTCAGAGATCAGCTGCTGGGCTGTCAGAAGAGGTTGAGGAAAAGAGAGGCTCCGTTTTCTATTCTTATATTATTATATAGAGTCGTTATTCATTTGTTTTAAAGCTCAATAAATAATAAAGAAGACCTTTGACCGACACTTTTCTACTTTTGTCCGGAAGATTTCAACTTTAACGGACATGTTGACCGGTGGAAAAAAATCTAACTAAAACTCTGCCGCACGGTCCCCTCGTCCCTTGGAAAAGGCGGAGAGGTGGGTGTTTGTCATCTGCTGGTGGACTAACCGGAGAGAATTACAGTGCTTGCATCGACGGGGAGGGATTGCATTGAATTACAGCAGCAGGAGGCGCAAACGCTTGCCTCAGGGAGGGAGAAGAAGAGCCACAGCGGAGAATAAACAGAAGGGCAACCACTTGCGGGAAGTCTTCTTCGCTGCTTTTGTGGCAGACTACAGCGCCATTTACAGGCCTGGCATATGTACTGCAGCTTCTCCAGCGCTTCCGAGCGGCAATGGCCGGCCGTGGCCCAACCCCACATTCCCCTGATTTCGTTAATAGCAAAGTCAAGATTCAGATAAGGTGCTGAAACCTTAATGAAAGGTTAGAGTNCTATGCTAACAATCAGTTTCTAATCATATCCTACATGTTCTAATATGGTGTAAAGTACATTTATAATTTTGAAAGACGTGTACTTTATTTGAGTATTTCAATTGTTTGCTACTTTTTACTTCTACCCCACTACAATTCAGAGGTAAATGGTGTACTTTTACTCCATCACATTTATTTAATACCTTTAGTTACTTTGCACATTTTGATTAATGATTTGAATTATAAATAAAAAATAACTTTAGTTACACCTGGAGTATCAGCTACCCTACAGTGTACAAAGTAATTCAAACTAGCTGCACCTTTACCAGCTTTTATAAACACATTAATGTATCGCTAATTATAATAAAAACATATCATATATTATTTTGCATAATGAGTCATTTTACTTTTGGTGCATTTTGGTGCGAATACTTTTGTACTTTTACTTGTGTAACCTTTTGAATGCAGGACCTTTACTTGTAACATACATGTATTCATACACTATTACGTCAGTACAATATCTTCTTCCACCTGTGCATATAGGGTATACAAAACCAAATCTGAATAAATAGACTACTATTTGAATAAGTTAAAGTAAAAGGGATGCTCAGCATTGTTTTCCCTCTTCCAGTTTATGTTTGTCCATTCAGCTCCCATATGGTGAAGGAATGTGTTGAACAGAGGAGCAAGCCATATTCTAAATAACATAAAATTACTTGTGAAAGTTGTATTGTTAGCAGCAAATACACAGACAGCACATCCCCAGCAGTGGTGGGACACAGCCCGTCTGAGCTGCACTGGGCGGGCTGCACGTCGCCCCTCCCCGCTGTGTGCACGGCACTCGGTGAACACGGAACTGGTACTCCATCTCTGCAGACACAAAAGGGAAGGTGAAACGCTGAAGACATTATCGTTTTGGACTGACTGGCGTTTGTGTTGTCATTAACGTGAGTAACCGAGCCGCTTCTATGCTAAGACAGCCCTCTAACGAAACTCTATGTAGCCGACGAAATAGCCTTTTCATGAGCTTATAGTGGACGTTTATGCTAATGCTCACTGTTAGCTTGCTAACTAGCTGGTGTTAGCTGTCGTACGAAATAATTATCGGGGTGCTGGACTCGCTAGCTAAGCTTGTGATATTAATAACTGAAGTAATGCGCATTTAGGATTGGTATTGAAAACATATTAATGGTTAAAAGACAGCGAGTATAACATTACTGGAGGCTGTTGTCAACCACGTTAACTTAATGCTAAAAACAAACATTGGGGTGCTTGTGCTTCATTGGAACAACTTTGGGGCTTCGGGTGTCCACTCTGACAGGTCAAACACATCCCTTATTATAATGCAAAGATTATGTTTTTTTTTTTCCTTACCGCTGTTATGTTATATTTACCAGTTAACTTTAGCTGTTGATGACTGTGTGCAGTGTTGTTGTCAAAGACCCTGACAGCTACACACTGGTGGGGATCATAAAATCATGTCAGCCACACCCCTCATGAAAACGCAATGTTAGTGGGTGCTCATTTTAAGATTGTGTTTGCGTTATATGGTTAGATAGTTGTGAGAGGAAAATATATGAACAGGTTCCTTTTTTTTTGCTAACCTGTGATGTTAAATTATCTTACTTTTTAACATTGATGGTATTCTCCCTGGACCTCAGTTTTTGGTAGTTGTGTGTCTCACAAAACTAGCTACCAGGGCATTACACAGAACCTAGGAGGTTTTTACAGCTTCTGTTTGCTGCCCCTTTTGGATTTCTTTACCTGCAGTTATGTCACAGTTCTAACTGATATTCCAGTTAGGCGGATAACAATGGCTATCCAATGAGTCACCACGCTTTGAAAAGGACCAAACCTTTGTGTATGATTTACCGTTGTCTGTTTACAACTGCATTTTATTTTATTTTGAATAGTCAACATTCTAAATAACAGATGTATGGGGATGATACATTTTATAAATCACCTCATAAGTTAGTTGTCATAATTCACAAGCAAGTCACAGACCTTGGTAGAAGGTAACCATATCAACTTTTCATCATCTTTGCACCTGGTACTTTTGGCAATAATCCACTCCCACTGTTTAAATCTACGCTTCGAGGCAAAACACATCCCTAGGCAACAGAGGAACTGCAAAGTTTAGTGGCTTGGAACAGCACAGTTTACTGTTGTTCGAGATGAATGCATCACTAGTTTCAACTCGGAGCATAAAACATAATTTTAAGTGCCCCAGGCTGTTAGGGTGTCCGACTGCCCGCTCCTTTGCTGTCCCTTTTTGTTTTTACTGGATGTGATCATCCAAGTACCGGGCAGTGTTCACATAACATAAACACTTATCTTTCTCATGGGGCATCTCAACGTTTCACTGCCCGTAAAGTCAGAGATGACACCTCAGAGATTGGACTGATAAATGACAACAATAAGGATGCCTAAAGGAAGGTGGTGATGTACCTATCAATGGTTGAAAGGAAACAACCTATCTGTAGATATTAAAAAAAACTAAAGAGATAACGTTGATTTTTAAGAAGCCCTAAAACGTTCAGCCACCAGTTCGCAATCCGCAACATCCCTATTGCTTTTGAGTAAATATGTCTTATAACTGTATTTATGAGGTACCAGCTCAGTTTCAGTTCCCAGTATTCAGGCTGAGTGTAACTCTGGACTGTGCTGTGGGACTGGCTGCACTGAATGGCTTTTAAAATGTTAACCAAATGAATGCCTTTAAACACTTGGCTTACTATGAAAGGATACAACTGGGACAGCCATATGCTGAATAAGCCATCCTTTATTCTAAAAGGTAGGCATAATTGGATGTAAAATATGATGGTCTTTGGCTGGGATTTGCAGTGTAGGTAATATATGCGTTTGATCAAGACAGAGAGATGCTGATAACTCTTTTCAATTATATAAACAGTGGGATTTTGTTCTAAATGTGACAAACTGTTATGGATGTCTATTGCTTCATGGATGTAGAACAAAGACAAGAAAGGGTGGATCCAAGTGACTGTATAACTGGATACTGTTCTAAGAGTAAATCTCTAAGAAGCAGCTTGAGAAATCTTTTACCAAAAATGATGTCCATCAGTGACCTTTAAAAAAAAAAAAAAAACGTTTCACAGATCATGGGTAACTTTGACTTTGATAATTATTTAATTTCATCTCAGCTGAATGGGCGGTCCTCAGCTGCTAGCTTAGAGTCATACAGTCTGTGTTTTTTTTTGTTTGTCCCAATGCCTCTAGTGTATTAGGGTTTTTCTATCATATGTGTGTACGTTTCTGTGGCAGAAATCTAAAAAAAAGCAGATCTGATATGGGCATCAAAATATTATCTCAGGTCAGATTTGGAGAACTGATCCAGAAATGATGGCCTTCTTTCTCATCAATTCCATTTTCTAATTTACAGATATGGCTAATTGTTCATGTTGTATGGTACTGACATTATATCTGATTATATTTGGTGGAAACATTTTATCCAAATTGACTTTAAATTATTTCATTTAAACCGTATACTGTAGATGCATGACAAGCATATTCATTGTAAACCAATTAGCATGGTCATTGCCACAATGTAAGCGCTAACATATTTGTTTCTTTTGTGCCATCAGCTTGCATTCAAGTTGTTCTGTTGCATTGGAAAGCTTTATTCCTTTCCCTTATTTACGTAATATCTGTGGCACCAGTCTCTTAGCGTCAGTCTTCAGCTTCATACAAAATGGTACGCATGCATGCTTGCGGTTCCCCTTAGTCCCAATTGCCATGGGCTGCCGAACACTCCAATTAGCTTATGCCATGTCTTAGTCTGTCTTTCTACCCAATCAGTTTGCCATCCGTGTCTGAATTGTTAATACGATATCGACAGGTGGCAGCTTCAGGCCTCAGTGGGATGAACTCTTCAGTCCCATCCTTTGTGCCACACGGGAGCGACAGATGCACACGAGTAGCCCCAATGCTTAATATTTAATCATCTTTCCATGACACAGATGAATGAAGCACCACTATAGTTGAAAATGAAGTTCTGGAGCTTAGCTGCACTGGTGGCAATTCGTTTTATCCCGTCTTTCTGTTGTTTGTTAATTGAGGTGTGTGAGGATCAGGACATTTTATTCATTGATTTTTAAAGGTATAGTTTTTCCTGCAGAGCCGTTTGAAGACACATCCCACGAGTACACTGCTATTGTTCTAAGCTTTGTCTCTTGAGATGATTGTTAATAAATTTTGTGGCCAAATTGTCCAAATCCTTGCCTAAGACTTACACGACTTTCTGAAGAAGAACTGTTCTTAGCATAGTTGTAGCTATGTGCCACTTCTACAAGAAGTTCAGACAATATGTGTAGTTTTAAACTGTTTTATACTTGATTAGCCATCAGCGCATGCATTATTTTTCTATGCTCACATGCTGGAAACCACGAAAACGAAATTGTTGTACATTTTTATACAGTACAGTCCTGTATGAGCCCTGTTATAAGTGGCAGCTTTTTCACCACACCCTTTTTTTCTTTACTTCCCGCAGGATGTTCCGCTTGCGGGCATTGTCCGCAGTTTCGGTGGGGCTAACGCAGTTGACCCGCCGTTACAACAGTGGGGCTGTGCGAGGGTCTGGCCGGAGGAGGCTGATGCTGGCTGCCCTGGCTGGGGTCACTGGTGTGTCTGCCAGTGCTGGACTGCTCTGGCAAAGGTAAGTCTGAGCCCAGAATTACCTCTGCTGTGCGCTTATGATGAGTAGTACTGGGATAATGATAATTGCCTTCTACTATTATTGTCATTTTAAAGAGTAGTTTGGCTTTATCTAATTATCAATCAAACTTGCTCAACAACCCCAAACACTGTGTTACTCACAACGTCAAATCACTGGGATTTTATTTTCCATGCTTTTTTTTAGCTGCCTTTTTGTTCTTGTTTCTTTGAATGGACCATGCTTCTCTTCACACCATAACTTCAGGCTTTATCTGGCGCGGAGCCTATTCAACAAGCAATCCTTGATCCACATCGAGTAAACTAGGATTTGCTCGTGGTTCAGTTTTTGATTGGAGTTTTTTTTTTTAGCACATGCCAAAGTCGATTCCCCCTCCGTTACACACAAATGTTAAGGCCGCTACACACCAACCTGAGAGCAAACAACACGTACCGAAGGCGTCCCGACTTTTACGTCGGCTACGTCGCCTGCGTCGCCTACGCCGCCCGCCTACGCCGCCCGCCTACGAACACATCGCAAAGACTTCAGTCGACGAGTGGCAATAACTGTCCTTACCAGCAGGCAGCGGTAGTGTGTATTCGTCATTCAAAAGAGGCAACAGCCAATCAGAGTGATTTCTTTGGCCGACTTTCTTTGTGTTGAATCGGCCGCGGGAGGTGTGAAAATGTGCCGTAAAGCAATGGCGGTGCGGGACACACCAACCTGAGTAGGGCGCCGCAACTGCCCGACTGTTACGGCCTCTGACTCCCAAAATCGGGTAGGTGTGTCAGGGCCTTTAGGGAAACCACCCATTGAAGTTGCTTACCTGCATTTCTGTTGACATGCCAAGGCACCACCCCAGGAGTGTCGCATAATGTTTTTATGGCTATTCATTACTAACGAGGCTTGTGTTTAGTTAAGGGAGAGTTTTGACGTTAGAGCTCTATGGGGACAGAATGACTGTGCAAGAGGCGGAGTGATGGATGCGGCCTCAGGGCATTTAAGACTGATGGGACGAGACTGTTCCAGGCCCTCACCCCAGGCTTCATTCTCGCTCTCTCTCGTTAAACTGAATTATTATGAACCCAAGACAGACTCTGCTATTTATTATTATTATTCCAATTTTCAATTTAGTCTGAAGATGGTCAAGTGGGAGCTTGCCCTGGTAGACCTCTCAGTAAGCAAAACACAGCACAGCACAACGTCTCTCTGACGCCCCCAGAATCATAGCTGCAGAACAAAGTCAGCCACACACATCACCAAATCTACTTCAAGAGCAAAACACAAAAGGGTATTGCAATACATTTGTCTTTGTAAATGACATAGAAATGTCTCCCTGGTCTCCTTCTAATTCGTTTTTTTGTTGAAAACTAGAGCATATGCTGAGGCGGGGCCTTCCGTTCGACACTTTGAGCAAACAGCCGGAGAGGGGGTGGATTTCGTGAAGGATGCCGATGCCGAGACGGAGTCGGAGAAATCGGTGGAGGTCAGCAGCGGAGACGAAGAAATAACTGAAGGCGGTGAGGAAAAAAAAAAGAAGCAACGCTCTGGATTCCGTGACCGCAAGGTAATCAATAAATAATCAACATTCAACTGTTCACTTAGTCCAGTAGTTAATTCACCTCGAAATGTGTTTTGAAAGCCCTCCCAATCAATGATCAGAATGCAAAAGCCAGTATATTTTTGATGCAATATTTTACGAACAAAGGAATCTGCACGCATTGTGCTGTCATACAGATTTTATTGATGTTAATTAGGTACCAGGCGACAAAGGACAGCCCGAAAAAAAAAAAAGGCCCTTTTGATATGGTGCGAAATACACAGTGTGTAGTTCTATATATTACCGTTGGAGGACCAGGAAGAAGGAATGAGGGAGAGTTTTGAACTGTGGACGCAATTTTCTCAAAGGAAATGTGATGCAACAGTACATATGGGTGTAGCTGTAACAATTGTGCACTCACTCTTGCCTCAGCAGCAGCCTCAGCCTGCTGAAAGCATATACAGCAGACGTCTAGGGAGCAGAACGTTTTAGTGAATCACAGCACTGCAGGACTCACTAGCGTGTTGGTAAAAATAGCTTGTTTGTTCCAGCTCGCTCAGTACGTACAATAAAGAGTCTCTGTCTAATAAAGTTTGCTGTGTGAAGTTGTGTGCAAATCTTCAAAATGTGCATCTGTTCTTCAAATGTAGATCATTTGTTGTTGAGATTGTGGGTACTTCCATATGTTTTTCTTTATTTTTGTCTGAAAACACTCAACTTACTAAAGTGCAAAATTATGTAGCAAGAGGGAATTTCCACTCAGATTTTCATGTTCAGTTCTTACTTTGAAAAAGATCTGATACTTGCAGAAAAATCTTTGAGAAACTGTAATAAATAACTGGTGTAAGTTGAAATTCATCCCCTGGTTTTAAATGTGCAATTTTTGTAATGGAGAAGAGATTGCATCAATGGCTGAAAGCTTTCAAACCAGGCTAGAGTCTCCATCAGTGTGAGTGATGCTGCGATCAGTAGCCTATAAATCTGAGAAGATGAGATGACATCGTATCCCGGGCTTTCTGTTAGCATTTCCACATGACTGTGCCATAACCTCTCATCCATACGCTGATGGTTCCCTCCTCTGGGGGACACACTCTTGGTGATTTCCCCATGGACCAATAAGATCTGCTTAAAAGGGGGAACCAACAAAGAGGCACGCAATCATCGCTACAGGCGCGAGAAGAGAATCCTTTTTGATGAAAGTCTGTTTCTCACTCTTTTTCTTATCAAGTTGGAGTGGATAACGGCTTCAAGAAGTTGAAGCTGCGTAACGTATTTTACTTTCTCCACAGGGGAGTTTGTGTGGCGTACACAATCATTCAGTGTCACATCAAATAACGGTCTGTGTGGATTAGTGTAGCTCAGCTCGATTCCCAAACCGACACCGCTGTAACAATTTCCCAGTTTTGCTGCATTTGTTTGGAAACTTTCTGCTGAAAAGCAAATGGCAGAGTCAAGGCAAACATTGACGTGGCTAATGTGTGTAACAGAGCTGAATGATTTAGTCATTTCCAAAATGTTGGACTCTGGTTTTTCATGCTGTTAGCCTTATGTGTGGTTGTCACAGCTTTGTGTGGCCATGATAGTTCCTGCAGTCTCTTTTGTTAACCTGTCAGTCTCGATGCTGTTGATAACACTATTTCCTGTTTTGATTACGGGATGCTTGAGTCGGGAGGATAATATACTTACCCCCCCTCAGTCCATCAACTTGTTTTTCTATCACCACCTGCTTCTTTATTCTGATCACTTCTCCACCCTCTTAACTCCACTTCAACTAATTTGACTTTCCTGCACACAGGATTGGATAGCTGGGTCTTGATTCGGTTGATGCTGAGGTATGTTAGAGTGGTGCTTCCGCCTCATGTGTGATCATTAATTGTGGTTCCTCTCTGCTTGGCAGGTGATGGAGTATGAGAACAGGATAAGAGCCTACTCAACCCCAGACAAAATATTTCGCTACTTTGCCACGCTGAAGGTCATCGGCGAGCACGGTGATGCTGAGGTTTACATGACGCCGCAGGACTTCATACGCTCCATCACTCCTAACGAGAAGCAGCCTGAGAGTGAGTCTCCTCTCCTTCCTTCTACCTGCTTTGCTTAGGCTTTATCACTGACTCAATCACATGATACAGATAGTTTCTATGTTCTTAATTATGTTTTTCTTTATCGCTTTTTTGTGTTTTTTAGATTCAGGTAAACTTATTTTTTTGCAATTCTTTATTTAGAAGATAGTCCACCAGTTACAATGAAATAAACTTGCAGTTACAGGGAGTAATAAAGGTTTGTGATAAGGGAGCAGTTGGAATTGAAATCCTCCCCTCAGGTACATTTTCACAACATATACTTTATGTACCGTAGATGTACAATGGCATCGCTACTTTTTTCCACTCTACAAGTGAAGCTAAAAGATCCCCTATTGGAGCCAAAATCTGCACAGTAGTGCTTGGGGAGCTTAAGCTTAGTATCTAGGTCCCGCCCACACACCTGCACGATCCAATCACAAGCCAAGCAAAACCACAGCTTTTAGCACAAGCCACCTAGCTGCTCCGCTAGCACCACAGTAGCTTTGGCTAGGATATCTTTAAAATACATTGATGTTCAAGTTGACACATGTTAAAGTACAGACTTGTGATTGTTATAGAAAGTAAAGTAACAGCTCCTCTCCCTCTCAAGCGTCCAAATTTGCAGCTAATTAATTCAGTCACAGTTATCAGTCATAACGTCTGGCATCAGATTTATAGCTTCAAATAAGTGATTTAATACGAAATATTTCATTTAAAATTAACACTTGAGTATATATCAGCCTGACAAGAACTACTATTAGATTCAGTGGCGTTTTCTCCTGAGGCCAAGGGAAGCCAGGCTTCCCCTGTTTTTTCGGATTGTAGTTATCATTTTAATAAATAAATAAAAACACCCTTTTTTTCCGGAGGCCAGGAAGTATTCTTGCCTCGCTTCTGAAGCAAGTGACTCGGAAGACATGTGCTACCAAGCAAGCATACTTGACATTGAGAAACACCCAGGCAAGTATGCTTCCAAGCCACGGCTTCGGAAAACGAAGAAGAATGGAACAGGCTAACAAGTGTGCCACTTTCTCTAACGGTTTCAACATAAACTGTACTGAAAATAAATACCTCACGATGTCTATCTAATTACGAACTTGCTTTACTTTCACGGAAGACATTTTTGGTGATAACAAATGTAACAAAGTAACATATTTACCAACACATGTTCTACGCCACTACATACTTACATTTAAATGTGTGCTCCCTCCGCAAGGGTTTTTGAAATTGGTCCGTGCGCAAAGGATTGTGGGGATTTTAAGGACGCGAAGTATACCCATGTGCAGCCTCGAAATTTCCCCCAAACCAAAGAGGCGGCCTCGGTGGAATTCCGAGTATGCTGGAGATTGGAACAGTACTTCGGCGACACTCGATGACGTAGCATCCTTGAAATATTGGCTTGGAAGCCAGTATCCTCGAGATTGAGAAACGGCCAGAGTTTAGTCAGGGCCATGCCAAGGGAAGCCAGAGGCGGCTGGCTTCCCTTGCCTCACAATCCAATCAAATCGCATCAAGGCGCGAATCGGACGTAAAACGTTAAAGGTCTCCTGATTTAGTTTGTGAATGAATGCTTATTAGAGTTTCGGCTGGAGAGTGCGTGCAGACCTGTTGGTTAGATAACAGGCGTGTGTAAGTCCTGCATCTGTATGATGTGTAAAATGATACCGGGTGCTGTAATCACTCATCTGGTTACGTTATTACATTGACCACCACACCCCCGACCCAAAAGAAAGGACGTATTATTGGCTTCCCCTAATTTTTTTTCCCACGCCACGCTACTGATTAGATTACAGAAACTGTATAATATTTTACATGTACTTTGACTTTTTTGTTAGGCCATGGATAACATGGATAGGGCAGGGTATTATGACCTATACTGTAGCCAGCCGCCATGCCTCCATCTTTATATACAGTCTATGGTCTGGATTCTTTATCTCATACGATTTGTTGATCTCAATTACACCCAGACAACCTTTCTGAAATTATATTACGCAACATAGCCTCCACCCCATGTTCCATCCATTTTACAGGGACACCATGCTTGGCAGTTCCAGACTCATGGTATAACGATCCCTCTGACTTTGCTCACAAGTATGAAGGGAGGCGTGGAGGGGGGGCGGGTGACGGCGCTGTCCGATCGTGCTGAGTTGAGGGACTTACAGCACAGCAGTTGGTCTATCAATTAACAGGTTCAAACCAGAGCAGATCTCAGGCGTCACACATGGAGCCAGTGAGAGATATTTGATCTCCAACCATGGGAGGGTTGGAAAGGCAGTGAGCTTAACTTGGCATGGACATGGATCCGCACCACTATCGTCATTATCCGGTTATTCAACACTAAAATTAATTTAAATTTGTGTGAGATTTATTATATGGCATTACATTAGCCTCCATCACAGACTTGCGGTTTAATGCACAGTGTGTGAGGATTATTACGTCCAGCACATTCATCCACAGTACATGAGGGAAGCCTGCAGCAGCGCTTAATAAGGACTTAGCAGGGCCTGTCACGTCTGCACTGCCTTTCCTGCTCACCTCAGCACTTCCATCTGTTAACCATGCTCAAGACTTGGCCCAGCTTGGCCCCCATTGGCCTTCCTATCTTATACCCAGTACTGCTTCCACCCACGTTATGATTCCCTAGTTCTTCCTTTCTCTTATCCTTCCTTTAGCACTACCAAAACACAATTTAAGAGCTCTGTTGGATTACAGAAGGTTCAGTAAAGCAGATGAAAAAGCCAAGAGAAGGTTACTTCATGGGCAGCCACTTTAGTCCCAAACCAAACTGAGGTTAACCAACAAACTCCAAGTAGTTCCAGTCAATTAAAGAAATACAGGGCCCTGCAAGATATGAGACAATTTCACATATCCAAATAACCTCACAAAAAGCAACTAAAAATGATTTGACAACTTTGTGATGGGGCTATACAGTTATTTATATTAAGAAATGTTGACGAATATGGAGACAGACTTGCAATAGAAATTTCTAAAAATCTAAAAGATAAAGGCGTAACTAAAATATGAGCGGCATCAATGTTTTCCCTGTTTATAGATTATATTGGATCATCATCCATTGAATCTAATCATATGGATGTAGTATTTTCCCTATAACTTTAGCAGAATTGACTGTGGAACAGTTTGAAATCCTGGATAGACCAGTTTTGTCCTTTCAAATGTGACAGACCTTGTTTACCCAGTATTTAGTCGTGAACTGTGGGCTTAAGCTCAGTGATCCAGACCCAGAAATGTGAATCTCCCCCTAGGTGGAGACTGAGTTGAAGTTAAAGGATAATTAAATCTGCAGAAAAAGGTGGAAGGCTATTTTCAGAGGTCTTAGGTAACAAGGTTTTCTGTAACGCTGATGATGCAATGTTGAGTTTAATAATGAGATTATACTAACTGTCACCCTCAGTTAAATCAAGTTAATCTGATTTGATGAGACTGTTTCAGCAGGTCGATGTGCTACCAGTCCTTTAGTGTAATATCAAGAACCACGCTTGGAATATTCTGTATAATATTTTAATACTACATGCTACATTTAAGAGATTATAACCGCTGCTTCACACAAGAGTTTAGAAAACGATCTTTCCCACAATGTTTATTAGTTTGGATTACATTACTTTGGAGTCAGAACTGCAAAATGAATATCTCATGTTTGAAGTTTATTTCATTAGGACTAGTAAACAGTGGTGGAAATTACATTTCATATTAGTCTTGCAGGGAGGGGAATTATATTTAGCCACAAAACAAGTTAACGCCTTTTGCAAAGAAAGAAAGGACAGAAATAAAAGTTTGGAAAAAATATACATGCAGAGTGAGGACTACGGTACTCATTTCCATCTGAATCCGATCCAATCCACTTTATTTGTATAGCACATAATAAAAACAGAGGGTTTACCAAAGTGCTTCACACCAAACATAACATTATAATAAAATATAATATTACAACAATAGATAAAAGGCACACATAAGAAAAGATGAAAGGCACACATAATAATTAATACACAGTACATAAAGACTATGGACATACAATAAAAGCATAAAACTTGATAAAACATAGCTCAGACTGACTCGAAAGCGAGGGAAAAGAGGTGGGTCTTTAGGCGGGACTTCAAAGTTTGGGCGACAATTTTACATGGGGGGGTAGGTTGTTCCAGAGCCTGGGGCTACCGCTGAGAAGGCTCGATCTCCCAGGGTCTTTTTCTTGGTTTTAGGGACTACCAGCAGCAGCTGATCAGGCGACCTCAAAGCCCTTGAGGGGGTGTACACCTTTAGGAGGTCGGAGATGTACTGAGGGGCCAGCCCATTAAGCAACTTAAAAACAAACAATAAAACCTTAAAATTAACTCTAAAATGGACAGGAAGCCAGTGGAGGGAAGTCAGAATTGGTGTGATGTGCTCATGCTTGCGTGTTCCTGTAAGCAGCAGAGCCGCAGCATTTTGTACCAGCTGCAGGCGTGCCAGCGAGGTCTTTTTAGGCCGGCATAAAGTGCATTACAGTAATCTAGACGCGTAGAAACAAAGGCATGAATTACACGCTCAAAGTCTAAAAAGAATAAAACCGGTTTAATTCTGGACAGGACCCTCAAGTGATAAAAACTGGATTCAACCACAGAGTTTATCTAATTTAAAAGCACTGTCGATTTTGACGCCCAGATTAGTGACCATGGGTTTTGCATATGGTTGCAGGGAACCCAGGTCAATGGAAGGGACATCACTATTTGGTCCAAACACAATGACCTCCGTTTTGCTCTCATTTATGTTTACAAAGTTTAACGCCATCCAGGCCTTTATGTCATTAAGACAGTCAACCAGGGGCATCAGAGAGCTGGTGTTATGTTTTTTTAGGGGTTGGTATATTTGGGAGTCGTCCGCATAAAGGTGGTAGGAGACGCCATGTTTTCTAAAAATTTGTCCAAGGGGGAGAAGGTATAAGGAAAATAAAATGGGCCCCAAAATAGAACCTTGGGGAACTCCACAGGATAGGGGGGCAGAAGACAATGTACATTACTAAATGTAACAACATATAACAACTGATTATCTTAATCCAGTCCATGAACATGTTCACAATGAAATACATATATAAAACAGAACCAAGAGTCTGCATAACTTTATAAATCTACCCAAAAATGCAGATTTATATTTGGGATTTTCTTTTGTTACGCAGGGTTTAGACATGAACCTTAACAAAGTGGATGCATCTGGCCCCTGGTATTCCTAGGTTGTATACATGTTTCTGAAGATGGTTTCTTTGAGATTTCTTCAAAGTCTTTTAACAAAGCAAATATGTTGTACAATTTCAGAAATCATTGCTGTGAAAAGCTTGTGTTTTCACCTACCCTCCAAGAGACACCACCAGTTTGATTTTGACTCTGTAGGAAACCAGGATCCCCATCATCTCCTTGTTGGTCCCTTCTTTTACTCTGCAACACACAGGACATATGCAAGCAGTTATAAAATAAATTATCAATGTACATGTTTTTCAGTGTAGGCATCTATGCATAAGAAGTAGAGCCTTTTTTTGTCAGATGCAATGTGAATATGTGTGTTTACATGGTGCTGGAGGCCAGGTTGGTGTCTTCATGCTTTAGCTTTCCATCCAGGGCCAGGCCTCTCTTTTCCCTGTTGGTCCCCAGCGTGGGGGTCAGAGTGTAGACCTGGCAGGAGGTGGAGCTGGGAGAAACCTGGTGACTGGTGTCGGGGGTGGAGGTAGGGGAGCAAAATCGTAAAGTTAGAGAGTGATCCCTCAGTCTGTTGCTGCATACTGAATGGTTGCAATGAGTTTCAAAAGTATAACGCTCATTCTTTACATATGATATTATAATTCTATACTGCAAGAGGTTGGTCAAATATGTTGGTAGCTTTTAATGCACTGTTCAATCCTATCTGTATAAAATAGAAATGCAGTGCAGAAATGGTAATCTGTGTTTAATGGTATTTAGAAACCCTGTCACCATTTAAGAGTTTACAATGACAAGTTGACTTTTACACTGTAAAAAGTTATTCTTAGTATGTATTTGAAAGGAAAACATTCTAAGGGAGCTATATAAAGATTGATGGATTATGTGAAAAAAAGGCATTTCGAACCTCAAAAATCCTACATTGGTCAAAATGTACCCATTATTTTGAAAAACACAGTTTTAAAGTAAGTAAACAATATAATTGAGCATGAGGAGGTTAAGAGTATAGGAGAATAACTCACTCTGCTTCAACATGGGCAACTGGACACTTATACTGAGCCGTGGAGAACAGACAGATGTCGGCATACTGACGAACTGAAAGAAGGAAAGAATAATTATTTTAGAAGTTCATGTGAAACACAACTGTCTTTTGGGTCAGTTCTGAGTCAGATTACAGCAGATTTATAACACAATTATTGATTTGAGAAGTGCTTTACCAGATATCTTCACCCTCTTCACACTCTTGGTGGAGTTGTTGGTGACATGGACGTTGACACTGATGGGCTCACCATGGTAGTACAGCTGGAGAGAGACAGAGACTTAGCATCATGTGTATACCAGTCCTCCTAATAGCCAATCAGAGTGTGTGAGTGTGTTACCTCCTTATCCAGTGAGGCCTCTAGGTGTAGAGATCTGTCGGACATCAGGAAGCTGCGACTGGTCTCCACCATTGGCTGAGGACCCGGCTTCTCCGGGGCATATTGAACCTTCCGGATCAACAGTTGAACAGAATTCCTACAAACACAGAAGGTTCGTACACATTCATATCAGGCTTTGGCAGTAATGGATCACTTATAACAGGATTACGTAATCAGTTTACAAAAACAAAAAAAAGGTAACTGTATACGCTTACAGCTACATGTGTTACATGTGTAATCAGAAAAGCGGGAATACTTGCAGGATAACAATGTAACAATAGATTTTAAATAAAGATTGATATATCATAGGTAGACGTACTGCCTGAAAGCAGTTGTTGGACACCTGATTTATTAAACAAAAAGTCTGTTTTTGTTTTTAATTAATGTTAACAGCATTTTTAAACTATACTATTCTGTAGGCATTTACTTTAATTTAAGAGGACACATTTATGATCCTGAATATCTTGGTTTCTCTCTTTTCTAAGGTAACATTGTTCTGTTGTCTTACATAATACACTTAAAGGTGGGGTAGGTAATTTTGGAGAAACCAGCTCGAGTGCGCTAGAATTTGAAAATACACAACCGGAAAAAATCTGCCACTTGCCCTCCTCCAACACACACGAACGCACACATGACCAATGAGGGCAAGAGATCATTTTGTGCACAGATGGAAGGCTGACAGGAAGGTAGGCCATCCAGTTATTTTAGCCGGGCCGGCTAAAATGATTGGTCGTGCTTTTTACAGTACTACGGCTTCCACAGATGACATTTTTTTATGGATTTTTTGTCAAAGCACTTAAGATATTCATTGCTATCGGGATGTTAAGAGCATTCCATGGAATATAACAAAAAGTGTATCTCGAGCCGGTTTCTCAAACTTACAAACCAAATGTACCCTCCCAACCCTGATTAATATCATACAGAAGGAAAAGAGCATCAGTCTCTTCAGTGTATCTTTAGTGTTTTGTCTGAGACGTCTGAATGTTTCTAACCTTTGGTGGATCTTCTCCTCTGCAGTCTTAGCACAGAATGCTCTGAGCTCATAGTCCACGCCACATGCCTTCCCAGTGTCCTCTGCGCCTGGCTGGAGGGTTACTGAGCAAGGCAGCTTCTGGGGGATCTGAAACATGTCAGCCAAAATGAAATCTATATGGCACCTCAAGGCGCATAGTCATAATGAACGCTACAATGCAAAACACTGCATTTACCTTTGATATAGATATAGAAGAATGAGAACCTTTAGCACTTCACTTGATATAGAGTAACTTGACTAAGGTGTAGTTAAGGGGGAATTATGACAGAGAGAGACACATAAGGCGGAGTGGGTAAGAGCAGGCAGGGCGCTTTTTTTTTTTACAGTGTACACGCTTACTCCGACCCTTTTCACTTTAAGACTATTCAATTCACAAAAAGTCAAGTATACTGTTTATTAATATTCAGAACTATAATACGAAAGAGTACACAAACCTACATTTATCCACTTCACAGAATGTGAAAGGAGTTATACCTACCAGTAGTAACAGTAAATGCCCAAATACATGATCACAATATAATCAATTATATGTCGTAATATAGTCAAATGTTTGCATAGATTCTTTCATTGACAATCCCTTCACTAGAGCTACCATCAGCCCTCTCTTTCACTGTAGACTAACATCATGTCAAACGGTGTATATATTGCTGGTCCACAGTAGTGCCAGGGTGAAGCTGTGTTTAGAAGTCTTACAGTGAAGTGGAAGGGGTGGGCCTGCTGCCCCAGCTTCTTCAGCAGCCGCTCCTGCAGGCGGCTCAGAGGGGTCTTCTTGTCCTCCAGAGGGGGGAACACCTGCAGTGTGCTGACGTACAGATCCTTCCGGAAGGAAAGGCCCAGGACGTCCAGATCCTCCCGACCATAACGAAACGCACAGGTCAGAGTCACAAACACTGGGGATGGAGACGTTGGTTAAATGTCCATCAGTCATTCAGTCAGTCTGTAACTCAGTGTCTTTATTTAGGTTTGTTTACCTTTTCGGTCTTTCAGATACTCTTGGTCTACAAGAAGCACTCCATCTGGAGAACACACACGAGGAGGGATGTTGAACAGTGCAAACACAGTACAATTAATGAATAAATATCATCCAGACTCAGTGGTGTAAAAGTAGATTTACTCAGGTACACTGAAAAAACAGAAACGTTGACTTTAATTAAATGTATTATGTCAACAAATTACACATCATTGTATAAGGTTAGTTAAAAGCAGTACAATTAAGTTGAACCTACCCATTTTTACATTTTAACTTAATATAGATGCTTTCAACGTACCTTATACAAATACCAGTCATTTGTTGACATAATACATTTATTAAGTCAACGTTTCAGTTTTTCAATATACTGTTCTTATTTACAATATTGAGGTACTTTTACTTTACTTGAGTACCGGTATTTCAATTCGTACTTCTGCTCCACTACATGTATTTAATACTTTTAGTTACTTTACAGACCTGGATGAATGATGTGAAATATAATCAAGTGTTGAATCAGACTTTAGTTTCACCTGGAGTAAATTCACAAGCTACCCTGCAGTATACAAAGTCATTCAAACTTTACCAGCTTTGAGAACACTTTAATGATCAATCATTATAAAACATATCATAAATATTATTCTGAAAGGGACCAATCTGCACAATGATTACTTTTACTGTCGCTACTTTAACTATATTTTGATGATAATACTTTTACTTGAGTAACATTTTGAATGCAGGTCGTATACTTGTAACGGAGTATTCCTACATTCTGGTACTTTTACTTGCTAGTACAATATCTGACTACTTCTTCCACCTTTGTCCAGGCTAGCTCCAACTAAATAATTTATTTCCTTAAAGGAAACAAATAAAGTCTTTCAATAAAAGTATATTTTACTCAGAAACCAAAATCAGGGGCTGCAGTTCTAAACAAAAAACACCATAAAGTGTCAACAAAGTCCTATTTCAGGCTCCTTTAAATGTTGTAGAGATACTGTATGTAACCTCCTTCTGCCCAAATTTGGAAAAAGCATGTGTGTCCCTGCAACCCATCATCTAGTGCCCCCCAGAGTGTTGATATGAAGTGTCACTGACCCCGTTGAAAACTCTAAATCATGCATGTTGTTAACACAATGGAGTGTCATTGGTTAGGAATGTGAACATTTTAGATTTTCTAAATATAAAAAAAAGGGACCCTGAATAAATCATTGTTATTGGACTCCAATTAGGTGTTCATGATGATGGTCTCGGATAAGAATTATGGTCTTGTGAGCTCAAGTCTGATACAACCCTGTGTGTGTGTGTGTATGTATGTGTGTATGTATGTATGTATGTATGTATGTATGTATGTATGTATGTATGTATGTATGTATGTATGTATGTATGTATGTATGTATGTGTGTGTTAAGATCTCACCAACTGGATCTACATGTTCTAAGTGATCAACAAAGTCTCGCTTCCCTAGATAAACTGTGATCTGTGGAAAGAAAGATGGACAAGAGAAAATGATTAAGATGATCTACAAGAGAGGAAGACACATGATAAAATCCGACATACTATATCCTACCTTGCAGTTGGGGCTGGATTTCTTAAAGACTCTGTAGAAAGAAGGAGGGTTAGGGTTAGAAAAACTCATTCATTTACTATCTTATCAGCAATCGTTGGTAACCTGTGCAAATCCATGCACTTAAGTATTAACTAAAAATGCAAAAATTACAAAATTCTGAAAATGTTCAAGGTTCTCTATTAGCGGTAATAAAAAGGAAGTATAGGTTTCATCTTCTAAGGCTGTACTTACCTAATGCATAGAAATACATGAATAAACAATTCAGTCCAGTTGAACTTTAAATAAAAAATCATTTGACATTTACATTATTTTCAATTCTAATTTAAGATGCTGGTAAAGTATCTGTACTGACTATATGCAACCCAGTCAGGTCTGTTTATCTTTCCACTGGTTTTACATTACATTACATTGCATTTAGCTGACGCTTTTATCCAAAGCGATTTACAATAAGAGCATTCGACCAAGAAGATACAAACTTGAATAAAACAGAATCATATAAATACATCAGGTTTCATAGAGCCAAAACATTTCAAATGCTACTCAACTAGCTTTAGATAAGCCAGTCCTTTATTAGTATACAAGTGCTTTGTTAGTAATTGTATTGCTCGAAGTGGAGTCGAAAGAGATTACGGTAGTTTTATTCTGCGCCGGAAGATGTGTAAGCTATCTGCTGTCCTGATTTCAATGGGGAGCTCATTCCACCATTTGGAGCCAGGATAGCAACCCACGTGTTTTTGAGTAGGTCTTAGCGTCACCGGAGCAGACCAGAAGTTGAAAGGTTTTAAGAGGGTGTGGTGCGCGAGAGGCGAGGAAGTGGGGGACCGGAAGGCATTGACGATCGAGTGAAGTTCTGTGACCATGAGACGCATGGTAGGGACGACGCTTTACCTAGACCGGGAAGGATGTAGGTGTCGCTGTACGCGAATGTGCGAGTTGGGTCGGGCAGTGAGGCGAGACGTAGTCGGTTGTGTCGAGCGACGTTGCGGTGACGCTCCCCCGTGGTCANAGGACACCAAACCAACTGAGACCCGTCTGTCCGCCACATCTACGCACTGTTGTGGTACAGTGTGTAGGTGCGTGTTGTACAGTGCGTATGTGCGTGTTGTACAGTGCGTAGATGTGGCGGACAGACGGGTCTCAGTTGGTTTGGTGTCCTATACTTACTTTTAATACTTGTAAATACAACTTTTGGCCTGTAATTTCAATTCCACATTTCAGCGACCAGAGAGAGGGGGGGATATGTCCAGTCTCTGATTGTGTTACGTTATTATGAGTGCTCTCACACTTTAAATTGTATATTTATATAAATATATTTGTGTCTGTGTGTCCGCANCGCGTCTTGTGCTGCATTCATTTGCACTCGGACATTAGAGATTTTCTCTCATAAATGTCCGATGAGCCACAACTTTTCTGTCAAAACAGAGCTGCCAAATGGGGTGGCAGCTGGGGTGGCAAGGCATTTTTCTGAGGTGGCAGCTGCCACCCCGTGCCACCCCGTAGAACCGCCACTGAGTGAGACATCTAAAGACTTCTTACGTGAAGCCTATAATAAAGCATGAAAGAAGGGAAAGCTGGCTGAAGCAGGCTAGTACCTCTAACATTCCCGGAAGCAAGGAAAATATTTCACTTTTTTTGAATGATTGACCAATTGTTTGGACCTTCCATATCTGTACATTAATGGGAAATTAATAAATTGTTAACTCTTATTGAAATAATATTATAGTTTTGTGTTCTTGTTTATCTTATATTTAATGTGTTTTTATGATTGTAATCAAATACCAACAGCTCCACCCCTCTAGGTGGCGGTAATGTCTCGTTTTGGTAGTTCACCCAATACAAGAAGAAGTGCTCTCTTCCGTAGTCTTGGCTTGTTTACATGAGCCTCGTCTGAACAGGATTTTTTGAGGATGACGGACCAAAAGGCAGATAATATCAGCTCTATCCCTATAGATGAGTTCAGCAAGTTAAGAATAACATCGATATGGACGTTTCTCATGTCTGTAAGTTACATTGTATTTTCTGACTCGAGTGCCAGCTAGCTACGAGTTAGCTATCCCGGCTAATTGACAGATCCCCTTTAATTAACAAACGATACCATTTTGGAGCATTTGTATGTGAGTTCAAGTGACAGCTGCCTAATGTTTGCTTTGTTTTACTGTGTGTAGGTGCAGTGGTCGGAGCCCTGGCTGATCGGGCTGATGGTGTTTCATGTTGTGTGTTTGTCTCTGACCGTGGTGACGTGCAGGTACTACAGAGCTCAGATATGTCACTTCCTGCTCATGGGTAAGTGAATCAGAACCATACAACAATTAGCCTTAATGTGTACTGTTGATAAGTAAAGTAAAAGTGCATAAGAAGTCCTACCTGTTCCCATACATCTACATTTAGTTCAAATTCGTTTATGGTGCAAGACTGACTTACTAAAATGTACTCATAGCTTAGTTTTAAACCATAACATTAACTACAATGTTACTTCTTGATACTTTTTCCTGGGAACATTTAGCCAAATTCAACAATCCAAGTTCAATGCAATACAAGGTGTGAACTTTCCACGGCAATAATAAGGGAAATAATGGGCATACACTAGGCTTGTTTTGTGCAAGTATAGTATAACATATATAGATATTAATTTCATGATGATAAACATTGTGGAACAATGATGAAAAATGTGAATGGAAGTGGCGACGTAAAACTGACACCAAACAACAACATTTTGCCAAGCCAATTGGAGAGTTTCATCAGCAGCACGGGGTAAAAACCACCAATGAGCGCTCAGCTCGAGATACCGGCGAGTCGTTTCCCATCAAGCATTTCGCCTCCGCAGCCCGTGGAGA